CTCTCTCTCTCTCTCTCTCTCTCTCTCTCTCTTGATGATGCCACAAATCCTGACCGGTGAAGAATGACGACTCCACTGATGCTGGTCGCTGACGAAGGCCGGTCCCAGACCGGAATGAAGTCCCAGATTACTCTCTCCTACTCCTCTAACGCTACTACTCTCCTGCAGCTCTCCCAAACTGGCGCTGTACTCCAGCAACATGACGCACAACTGGTGCTGCAGCACTCTCCCCCTAAACTGGAGGACTGTCCCAGCTATATACCGCTGGGCATGGATAGGCTGCCCTCGGTCTGCAATGAGGACCCTTCTATCGAGAGTCTGATTGATGGTCCGGATTGCAGGCCCAAGACCCGGTCCTCAATCTCTTGCCTAACTGAGCCTGCCTGGGCCCCTACCGGACATCGAGGCAGTCCTGCTGATGCAGCAGAGCTGGTCCAGAATGGACGAGGACTGGGCCAGGCACTACAGACAAGTGCCTGATCCAGTCTGGATGCGGACGAAACTGAGCCTGGCCTGCAATGGCCAAAACTGGAATCCATGGGTCCGAACAGGCACCACTGCACCAGTGCCTGTTCTGACAAAGGAAAAAATCCGAAACGACATCATCTAGAACAGACAAAAACAGACTAGACAAAGTCAAGCTCAGCATCTAAAATAAATAAATAAATAAATGCTGAAAGAAAAGAGAACGAATGGGAGAAAAATAACCCATGCCTAGAAGAAAATGGCCGTGGCCCTCTAGGTTGCCCAAAATACAGGGACGATCCGCCTGGGGGCCAAGGTGCAATAGTTGGGCCTCCCAGGGGCCCATGTAGTAGGCCCCAGCATGCTACACCGGGAGTCATTGATGGATAAAAGCAAGTCCGCCCTGGTACCAGCTAAGGAAAAACAACGGACACAAGCACACACAGACGGGGAAGTGGAAGGGACGAGAGAGAGGAAATATATATTGATCGGCTGACTGTGATCCTTATACGATATCCTTTGTGATGATGATGGACACCAGTAGTCATCGATAGATGCTGGCAAGTCCACCTTGAAACCACCCGCAAGTGTTGAGAACAGTACATACTAGAGCAAGAAGCGAACCAATAAGAACAAAGAATTTCCGAGATGCAATAGCTCATAGAAGACAAAGCATTAGTGAACCGAGCTCGAGCTGAAAGCAGAATTACAAAAAGTCAAGAGCACACCAATAAAGAATCTCTCTCTCTCTCTCTCTCTCTCTCTCTCTCTCTCTCTCTCTCTCTCTCTCTCTCTCTCTCTCACACACACACACACACACACACACACACACACA